CAGACGTCCTACATTTGCGGACGGCGAAGCGGTACGTGCGAGATGCTAAAATGAAAGCAAACCTTCCGGCTGGGGAATATTCGTATGGGGCACAACGACCGGCGACCTACCTGCTCTCTCGTTTGCCACCAGATGTGCGTCAGGCGGCCGCTGTCATCCATCTTGATCTCGCACACTCCGCCGTCGGCCGTCGCGGCCATGACCTGAAATTGCAACATGTTAAGCGCCCGGAAACATCGAGGGCATCAGCGCAAAACCACGACGACGGCACGGCACACATTTTTTACCTCCAACATTTCTTGGTTTGGTGTCATGGGGCATATATTCTCCCGGTTGTCACCTGCGATCGTATGTGTCTTGTCGCCCGGATACCGCCTTGAGCAAAACCCAACATCCCACACACAAACAAGAGAGGCAACAGTCTCAACGGACACATGGACACACCTCTTCGTACGCATCGGCAGCATCTCTCGGCTTCTCCGCCCCGTGCACAATGGCAGCTGCGTTCTGCACCGCGCGCTTGTTGATGTCGATGTCGCTGTCCTCGTGCAACGCCTTCATTGCTTTCGTCACCTCTTTTGGCTTCATCCCATGACCTGCGCCGTATGGGAGAGCCGGGAGCACAAAAATAAGTGGCGTGTCACAGACAACAGGGTAACAATGTGGAGGCGACAGCAGTACCACGCTTCAAGGGCCGTTCGTCATGCGGCATCATGACTACCAACCATGACAAACCGTGGGATACGACGGGAGCCACTGTAGACCTACTCCAACGAGTTCAATCTTCCTTGCCCCATATTTGATTCACAAGACAAGACAAATGAAACGTTTCGCCGTCCACCGCTGAGTACACGAAAACAGCGAACCGAACGTGCACGCGTTGAAAGGCACGAGGTGCAGCACAGCAGGGACAATCAATTGGCGTGCTACACCCACGGAAACAATGGCAGGGCCTCTACAGGGAGCCTTGATGTGGACCGGGGGAATGCCAGATACCGGTGCTCTTTTCATGGGGCCAAGGGGAACAGCAGCAGCAACATCAAGTAAAGCACACAAAAAAACATTGTGGGTGTCACGCCGAACGGCACGTGTCAAGCACCAACCCGTCTCGCCTGCGTTTCCGGCGGGGGGCTGGTGGTCAATGTCTGCTGCTGTTGTTGCTGTACGGGGTGGGCTTGTACAGGGTAGCCCGCAAAACCTCCGGCGGCCCCAGCATCGGGAGCACCCACAGGGGCCGGAGTTCCCAACGGCAGACCAGTGCGAGGTGAAAGCATGGCCTGCAACCGCACGCGAAACCCACCACGCGGCGGAATGGAAGGACACCATGTCAACGTTTGATCACAAGACAAGACAAATGAAACGTTTCGCCGTCCACCGCTGAGTACACGAAAACAGCGAACCGTACGTGCACGCGTTGAAAGGCACGAGGTGCAGCACAGCAGCGACAATCCACTGGCGTGCTACACCCACGGAACAAACATTGCCGGTGTCACGTCGAACCGCACTTGTCAAACATCAACCCGTCTCGCCTGCGTTTCCGGCGGAGGGCTGGTGGTCAATATCTGCTGCTGTTGTTGCTGTACGGGGTGGGCTTGTACAGGGTAGCCCGCAAAGGCTCCCGCAGCGCCAGCATGACGAGCACCGTAAGAGGCCGACAGAGCAGCACTGGATGGAAGCATTCCTAGCAATGACACTACCGCACGGCAGGCCACGGGTCCCACGACGCGAACATGGAGGGTAGACACATGAAGTTAAGGGGTTGGGCAAGTGCGTGCACAATGCCTGCACCTCTACCAGCCCAGCACTGCTGTAGCACCACCATACAGCCGAGCAGCCAGAAGAAAAGACTCCGGACTATACGGCAAGGACAACAGGCAGGGCCTGGCCTGGCCTGACCACACCAGTGCAGGCACATGATCACCAACGTACGTACGACGGCAACAACAGGTACAGAGCAGCATCGACACGTGGGACAGCATGAGGGAGGCTGCAACACAGGAGACAGACCAACACACACATGGCGCTGGTGCGGGTGCGGCCGTTGCTATTTTATTTCCAAAAAAAACATCACAGAGAGGGTGAGGGTGAGGCACAGACACAGAGGATGCACGGACGCCTGTCGGGACGGGATCTCACCAGTTATCGTTGTGTGTTGTCTCCTCGTCTTCCCCCAGCGTGCGGGTGCGTGTCGCCGCCTTCAGACGGCTCTCCGCCGCCGTGATTATCGCTGCTTTTATAGGAGAGGGAGAAGAACCTCTTCGGGGACACTCCGGGCGGTTTCCCGGGGTTTCGATCCGTCTGGATGTTTGGACTGTGGTTCTCTTCTATAATCCATGGATTGCAAATATTCGCGCCCGAGAAATGCCGAAATCCGAAAATGCTCTGGGGCTGTGGCCTGGCCCCGTCCTTAGTCCTTAGTGTTGTTTGTCCGCCATCTTTTCCCACCAATCACCTGTAGTTTCACAGTCCGTTGGCCACCGCAGGCAAATCCTACAGTCCCGCATGCATGGTTCCTTTCCGACTTTTTTTCCGGCTGGTGTTGCGTACGCAGTACGCAGCGCACATTTATTGCGTACCTACCTGTTTGGGCGCCGCTCTCTCTCTCTCTCTCCGTCCGTGGCTGTTTCGCCCGACTTACACCTCAACCACGCTCCTGAGCAGAGAGTGGACACCTCTGCAAGCTCGTCCTTGGCTCCATCCATGTCGCCCGCTCCAGCATACCAGGTAGTAGAATAGAATCTATGCCACTGGCCGATGCACGAATTAGATGAAGACCCGGTCTCGCCTTACTCCCTTTGGTGCGCTGGTGGTCTACACAGCAAGCACAGCAAAGGTGGTAGAGCAGCAGCCCAGGGAAGATGCTCCGGCAAAAGTACAGCGATAGGCGGGAGTGCACAAGCTTTTATACAGCATCAATGCCTGATCCCTAGCAGCACGCCCCAAATCAGGTGCTGAAGACATGGGCGCGTGTTGAAGCAGTATGCATACGAAAGAGTATCGCACAAAATGGTGGAGGGTGGTTGACTTGCGTGATCTGCATACAGATTTTATTTCCGAAGAGTACCCAGCCTGGGTACGCACACATATATATATACGCAATGACGACGCCCCGGGGAAGCATGCGTGGTGCCCTTCGGCCTCTCCTGTCCGTTGTCGGATGCATACTCTATATTTGCGAAGCGTTCTTCTTGTAGAACCCATCCATTGTCTTCTGTTTTTCTCTGCATCTTGTCATTGCATTCCTCATCCTCTCCTTCTGCTTCGGGTGCGTATAGCAGCTACTACTTTGGTCGTGACCGGCGATGTCTGAGGCAGGAACGGAGATACAAGAGAGCCATGGAGGTATGCAATGTATGCGCGCATGGTGCATGCACGCATGCATGCATGCAAGCATGCATGCATCGAACTGCAGGGTACAACCGACGACTTGCCTGCGGTGGGATCACGACGAAAATGCCGCTCGTTGTTTATGAGTGCTGCTCCTCTCACATCTACACGGCCGTTGCTGCTGCATGGCCCGCGTTATCTTTGGCAGTGCACCGCCGGCAGCCAATATAGCACGCCGTTGTACGCACTAGGCTAACATTCATTCAGACGTTGCTGGTGTGTTTGGCGCCCAAAGGGCATGGGACAGCGCCGGCTTTTCCCTACTTGTAGTCGTTCACAGCTGTCAGTCTTGCCTCCCCCGCCGTTGACAGGTTTTCCCCCTTGTTTTTCCTTTCCTCCAAGAGAACTTTGTCAGACGACGGACGCAACCGATTGCATGATAAAACGGTTCCTTCTCCCCCTTTGTGTTTCGTGTGTTCCTGTCTCCTGACCCTTGCAGAGGTATAAGGCCCTCTGCTGACTTGCATTCTGTTTTTGGGGTTGGTCTTGCCCCTGAACCCCATTTCAACACTTTCGACTGCCGCACGCCGCGTACCGTAAAGGACAGCACAGGGTTAACGCTAGCCGCACAGGGCAGCGGTCGTCATTGTTTTTTTTTTTTAGCCAAAAGTACGCTCCGAGCGGCGTTCGCTTTTAGGTACCGGGCGCGTTGGTCGCCAAGTACCTACTGTGGGCGCATTATTATCGGAATAAAATATATGTAGGACCAAAGGGCAAAGGGCGGCGCCCCCCGCGGCGATCTCCATAATAAGAAAATGATGAAACACACGGCGCGGCATCAAGCACACCTCTCCTTGGCCTGCTTCATGTAGTATTGTCGTGTCACGAACCACCGACAACAACCTACTTGTTTGTCGTGTTCACGAACCACCATCAACAACCTACTTGCTGTCGAGTAGAAAGCATGTGGTGCAAGCGTGCCGAGGAATTGTTTTGAGGTAGACATACGTGTGCTATTGCGTATAGTATGTACTATAAATACATATCGAAGCAAGCAGTAGTCCTTGGAGTATGTTGCAACGTCTCTCTACTGCCATGCTTCGTTGTGGTGTCCTATGTATATTGTTCGGTTGCAAGCAAGCGTTGGTGCCTCCTATACTGTTCCCTTGCCTTCCGGCCGGCTTCTTTTTTTTGTGTATTGTCGGGCCGTGTTGGATGTCTGTTCAAAATGAGTGACCTGTTCAACTTCGTTCCAGTCGTTCTTGACGTCGGCTGAATTCGGCGACAACCGCGGGCGCACCCAGCAATCACACACGATACACCTGAGAACAGGCGGAAAATAAACGTTGCGCGACAACAATCTGCGCGTTGTCGCACAGAAAAACGGTTGGCAAGCGTATGTCACAGAGTCTGTGCATACCTCCACACATGCCCCATCAAGACGAAAAAAGTCCCATCAAGATAATAGGGACGACGCGGCGATTGCTCAAGCAGGTTCTTTGCACTAGAGGGAGTTCCAAGCAGGTTCGTTGCACTAAAGGGCGTTCTATTTTTCTTCATCTACACCGGCCAGCGGAGGGTTTTGTGTTGCAGCGACATGCGCGTTGGCCCGACCAGGTGTCTTACCGGCGCCCAGCGGTTCGACGGCTAAAGTCCATCACCACTCATCGCCCTAATTGACGCGCCGTTATGCCTTGAACTGCTGTTATACAGCAACATTAGCTCATACCACTGCTAATAACGTCCGCACAAAAGTGGTAACCGCAGCAGCAGCAGCAGCAGCAGCAGCGGTAACAAATGCTCGCCTGCTGTCGGACCGACACACCGCGGGCCTCGCGCGCCAGCTTGAACGACCCGCAGTTTGGGGGATCGGGGCTCGTGGGCGGCGAATACAGCAGTGATGCATGTTTGGATCTAGTATGTAGAATTGCGGAGGTTTCGGAGCCAGCGGCAGCCTCCGATCCCACCACGCCAGCAGCGGATGCGAGCGTGCCAGCGCACGCGTCGCTGCTCCACGATGCTCTCTACATGTTGGTATAGAAAAATGTCTTGGATTTGGGGTAGAACCGATTTCCATCCTTGGCAGGAACCACTTGAGTCTACCTGCTTCAAACCTAGAATAAACACCGGCTTCAACACCTCAACAAACGACCTACAGTACGTACGTTCTGTGCCGCCCACAGCATCATATGCGGAACATATCTGCTCGCTTGGGCAGCACACACCCAGCTGTTCCCACGTCTTGCCCGTGTTTCTGCTCGCCCCTCAGGTGTTTACCCTTGAGAAAAGCCAACTAGCACGGGGCGTTCGCCACGTATCCCGGGCCGTCTGAAAGAAAAATCTGATGAAAATGCGCCGACGGACAGCAGAGTGTTCGCCCTTCTTTTTTTTTTTGTGCCAGTGCCCCGGGACGTTCTCTATCCGAAGTGGAATTTATCCTATATGGCACTGCTCTACCTAGCTCTCCTTGCCTGCACCTTTCTCTTCACAATATTTTTACTCTACACTCCTTGCCGACTCCTTTGAGCCTCCTCACGGAGACGTGTCCTGAGCCTTTGCTGGCAAGCTAACGCATGCGCGTTAGAACTCCTCTTCTCGTACAATTGTGTATGCATTTGGCTAGGAACCATGTCGCTGTTTTCGGCATCGCAGCTTTCGCGCACAGGCTGGCCAATTACATTACCAGGGTTAAAATTCGACATGGCATATTTCGCGCACGGGCTGCCCAATGACGGTACACTCCAGTCTCCAGCGGTAAAACATCCACAGCCATTCCTCCTGTCGTGCGTATGTGCCCATACCACACTTCGGTGTCGCGTGTCCCTGTCTCTCTTTTCTCTTTTCCTATCGCATGTCGGTAGCCCTCCCCGCCCGCCGTCGCACAGAACCCCAAAAGAAGTCGCCGTGTGTGTCCTCTTCGCCGTCGAAAACGGTAACGCACAGGTGATCGAGACGCCCTGCTGGCCCTCTACCACTGCACGGGGGGCCCCTCTTGGCACAACAGATCAGGCTGGGGGTCGGACAGGCCGCTCAATGAGTGGTACGGCGTTACCACGAACTCGGCGGGAAGGGTCGTGGCGCTGGAGCTGAGGTACAACAACCTCCAGGGTGAGAGACAGGCGGAAGGATCTAGCACAAGGAAGTGTCCCCGTGCTCATTTTTGTCTTTTTGGTGGGCGAGGCCAGGGTTCACCTTTCCTCTGCACGGCTCTAGCAACGGCCATCGCCTAGGGATTTGTGGTTGTTTTAGGAGTTTTTTTTTACCCGGGGATGACGAGCGCGCGTTGCCGGTGGTGTTCTAGGGGGACAGTAGCTTTCGCAGAGTTTTTCGTACTATTTACAAATGTAGGAGACAACATTACAATCGGGGAAGTTGGGTTACGGTCAGAGTTAGGGAATACGGTCTGCGTCCCCCTTCCCTGTTCTATTTCACCGTAAACTTGTTAATCGCGCGAAGGCGGCCCTAGGGGGAAGGTCGGCCTCAAACCAAGTTCTCTCGCGGTGTCGTTATTTTGGTAGCACGGGAGGCGCCTGACACCTAGACGGGGCAAACAAATGGTGGCACACGATGCAACAAGGAGCTTCGCAAGGAACCTTTGCACGAACGGGATGGGGATTTGCCAGGTTTCCGGTTGCCTAGAATCAAACATGGCTCTGAGAATAAGACTCTTTGCGTGCTTCAATGGAGCGGGCGGCGGACGCCGTAGACGCCAATCACCGAGAATGCTGTCGCCGTTTCGACTGTTTTCATCTTTGCTCTGTAACACCGCTTTTTATGGAAGTACAATGTTGCAAGAAAACCTGCAAACTTTTCCTGCAAATTTTCTTCCAAACTTTTGTCAATGGAACTTTTGATGCACGCTCTTTATGGGACGAAGAGAGTTTTGTGCACGGGACTGGCGGAATGCGGAGGCGTGATATATATATATATATATATTGGAAACGGTGAGAAGAAGGAAGGAGGCACGCGCCTTTCATATTGCACCGCGAAAGAACCGGTCAGAGCGTGCGGGAGAGGGTAGACGAAACCTTTTTTCTCCACACTTACGATACCCCAAGGCATCTAACCTGGTACCAGCAAGATGCTGGGTAGAGCTAGCTCCCTCGGGGTGGCATTGCTGTTGCTGTTGTTTTCTCCTTCGAAAACTTATCGCTGGAAAACCAAACCATGCGCACACACTCCCTGCGAACTTGAACCAACTGCTCTCTGACGTGGGTACTTTGGGGTCGATCAAAACGTTTTCCCGATGCGCACGATACCCCACGGCACCAAACCTTGGGCATGAAAGATGGAACAGAGAGCTACCTCCCACCGAGCGACCTTGCTATTGCTGTTGCTTCCTCCTTCGGAAAGCTATCGGTGGATAACCAAACCCACCCGTGGCGGTCAACAACATCGAGCTTGAACTAACCGCTCGCGGCCGTTGACGGTTGTGCACAGCACAAACTTTTTTTCCTGGAGCATTCGGCATCTCACGACCCCGAACCTTGGCAGTGCCTAACAGCCCATGGCATCACCTCCTTCCAGATACCATTCATGAGGCAACTCGTTTGGTATTCGTCGAGATATCGGTGATCACAGCCTTCCCACAATCGATGCTGGAAAGGGTCTACGTGTGTGGTAGGGGTAGCACCTAGACGTGAACCGGTATACTAGAGTAGTTTCCGCCGTGCAGCTTTTCTCGCCCCTTCCCGACTCGGGAAAAGCTGCAAAACTTTTCGGCCAGATTGCAGCTTTTCGCTCCGGAAAAAAGTTGCAGAACTTTTCTTGCAACTTTTAGCTCCCATACTGAGCGTACATTAGCAAAGCTGCAAGAAATGTTGCAGAAATTCAGCTTTTTTTGCAGCATTGTGCTGCCATAAAGAGCGGTGTAAGTATGCACAAACCAGACGAGCAATCTTTCAGCTCCAAGACAAAATCTTCAACACATGATGGTCTGCTGTCTAATTGCTTGGGACAAATGCAGGTTCTATCCCACCGGGTCTGGGTGAGCTAGACGCCCTGGAGCATTTGCACCTGACCAACAACGAGCTCCACGGTAAGGGCAACCAACGCCGTTGTGATTGGCGTAGCCTCAACACCTCGAATCGCGTTCTCTCTCGGGAGTTTATTCCTTGCGAATTACGTACCTGCGTGGGTTTTTCAGATGGAATTATCACGCTGGTTTGGGTTATTGCCAACACCTGGTACCTTGTTGGCGTGTGTGTTTCCACTTGTACACAAAAAAGGTTTGGCGGGTGCATGGCTGCGATTCTAGCGCACGATTTGAACGCGCGCGGTGTGAACCTTTTGGAGCGCATAGAGCGAACCCTGGTTTGTGTAGCAGCCTACCTGCATCCACACTCCGTGGGCTCCGACTCCTTTCATCAACCAAAAAAAGACCTCAGGACGAGATTACCCACAGGGCAACAATGTCAACCAAAAAAGGCCTCGGGACGAGATTGCCCACAGGGCAACAATCTTCTTTTCTGTACCCAAAAACCGAACAGGACAAGAAGGGTGGCCTTGCAAGCGTTTTTTTCTTTACGCCGCAAGCTCAACGTGAAGTAGCGGTCTTGCATCCACACGAGTCTTGAGCGGTTGTTAATCACGTAGCGGTGCCTGCAATCGGCCAGTTTGTGAGCAAAGGACGCGGTACTTTAGATTTGACGAGCAATGTATAGTATATGTCGGTGCCTCCCGCGGCTTCAGCGTCAGCTCCATAGAGCGACACGTATTTTGTGACCTCACAAACCGTGCGGCGCTTTAAGTTTCGTCAGCGATCGCGCGAAAACGGACCACCCCACGCACACACGTTCATTGAGAGGTAGTGGACCCTCTGCCCCCACACGCTGCGATTCGGTGGTCGGTGTGCGTATTCTTTCAGCGACCCAGCGTACAAGACAGCAACATTTCGCAGCATGGCGTCGTTCTACCCACAGCAGATCGTGTGGAAAATATGTGCCAGCAAGGCCGGCTCACCGCCGGCCACCACAACACAAGACTCACGCGAAGGCATACGCTCTTTCCGCTTTCCGTGTGCGTCTCCCGGTAATTTGCCGGACCTCCGTTCCCCTCCCTCAGGAGCCATCCCGCCCGAGCTTGGGCGACTCCACTCCCTTACGGATCTTCGTCTGTACTGCAACCATCTCTCCGGTATGTTGGCCGAGCTGCCTCGTTCTTAGTTGTAGGTGACACGTTTGGAAGATAACATCTTACTTCTAGTTTTTTTTTTGTTGTTGTGTGTTGGGAAGGTGTCATTGCTTGCGCCCACCATGAAGATGATGCTGTCGGGAATAAGGCCAGCGCCTTGGAAATGTGTCTCCCCCTGTACGTTGGTCGGTTCAAGATGTTTCCATGGCCAGTGCGCCGAGACGACACCAACACGGGTCGACGCGCAGCAAGAGGCACAGAAAAGGGAAAAGGCGGGGGAATTTACATCTTGACAACGATACCGACTGAACATGTACCAACGCTGAGCGTTACAGGCATGCGAACAGTCTTTTGTAGTGAGCGATCACTGAAGGAATGTTTACTATCGAGGGTGGGTGTTGGGAGAGCTTCTAGAAGAACACCTTCGTAGGGCGTGGATTTTTCGATTTTTCGACGCTTTTCGACCGTTCATGTTCTTCATCACCAAGATGGTATTATTCCAATGCACGTTTAATATCTAGCTTCGTCTAAGCTCTCTCTTCAGTTGGAACAGTCGTTCGGCCACTGCAGCATTACACCAATGCTATGCAGTTCACGTTTCTTCTTGGGATGGATTCACCGTTGCACCTACTTGTAGGCAGCTTGGGTTTTTTTGACAAAAAGGGTACAGATACACCGCAAAGACCGAACGCACGAACGTCTGCGACGGATGTTTGGCTACGTATGTTTTTTACCGAATGGTTGCGAACAACTTTTCAAGCGCTTTCCCAAGGGTTTCGAGTGATACTGCGTCTTGTCTTCGAGCGTCTCGGCTGTGTCTCAAGAAAGGAAGCTATTGACTTGTCGCTCGTGCGCATGGGCGTACCAGCGTATCTTTCGTGAACTACAGTAGGAGGAGTTCGGCCCATGGATTGAGAACATTTTTTTTTTTTTTTTTGGGATGATACATGTACCAACCCCACCACCACCAACAAAGCGCACGCATACATCTATCCTTTTTTCGCTTTCAGGCGGCATCCCGCCGGAGCTAGGAAATCTCCATGCTCTCAAGAAGCTAGTGGTCTACAGCAACGACCTCTCCGGTGAGCCATCCAACCCCCCGCCCCTGTTTCCGACGTCGATGGCCTCCCCCATATCGTTCAGATGACTTAGACCGGTTAGGCGTACCGGTATCAGGTTGTGCAGATATTAGGAGCTCTTTCATCCCCCCCCTTTTCGACAACACAATGCATGCGCCGCAAAAAGCGAAGTGCCCATTATTCTCTACGAACCATACCGAACGCTTTCCGCTACTCGAGATTTGCGACCCCCCAACAAGCGTTCCAACCATTGCCTGCCTCACTCGAGGCGCACGGCGTACTCTTGCGTATGGACACCTGACGCAAATTTCGCAACTTAAGGGACGGTTCCGCCGGAGCTGGAGGGGCTACGGGCTCTGGAGGAGCTCCTTTTGTCGGACAACAAGTACCTCCTAGGTGCGTTAGCCTTTGGTTGACTTTTGTCTGCCTTTGGTTGGCTTTTGTCAGGCTGTGGTTGACTCTCGTTAGCCTCTGGTTGACTATCGCTAGCCTGCGGGTGACTGTTGTTAGCCTGTGGTTGACTCTCATTAGCCTGAGGTTGGCTTCCGTATCACACAAGGGGTTGTTTGGACTCCTCTCCGGGCGGGACCCTGATGGGGTACATGTGACGGCTTGGGTTCTTGTCGAGTCGTCGTACCGTTCGTCCTGCACAAGTACGGCATGCTTGCTGCTCGGGGTTGTCCACGTGGGGCCTTCGAACGGGCACGGAGAGCGTGCGGGTTGCATTGCCCCCTCCTGCCCTGCGTGCCTCGAACTGGAACTGGATGTGTGGTGCTGGCGGTTTCGAGAGTTGTGGCCGCTTTTCTCGCTCTACATGTATTATTGGGGTGTGAAGGACAGCACAAAACTCACCTTGTTTTGGCTCTTTTTTTCTGTTCCGGTGGTCATGTCGTGGTATGCAGCAGATCTTCCGTCGGCGTGCACCCGAAACTCCTCACAATCAGCGCTTTTCGCCTTTTTCTACTACACCCATAATTCCACCGCATTTACTCGAACTCGATCAATCAATCGATCGATCTCCACGCACGACCACTGCCCCCGCAGGCGACATCCCGCCGGGGCTGGACCGAAACCTCGCTCTGAACAGGCACACGAAGCAGCTCCCCGCCGGCGTACTCGCGGGTGAGGCGCGGCGCGCGTGGGATTGTGATGCCGAGACGGACCGCCTGTGCCGTGGACGCCGTCTTGCTTCTGGCACGTGTTGCTCGCCCCTTTCCCTCCGTCTCTTTCGTGTGCGTATCTCGCTGTGGCCCTGGACCGATGGCCCCAACGATCGTGCACAGCAGTAGCACCGCTCCGAAGCTCCAAGTGCCCCCCCCCTCCTCAAGAAATAGCCGAGAGAGGATCGTTGATTGCCATCTAAATCTATCACGGCACGGTACTTGGAAGTTTTCGAGTGCGGCGGGGAGGGGTGACGAGAGGTAGTGAATTCGGCAGGGATGTCCTCGGAGGTGATGTAGGCGGAGGTAGCCCCTCTCACCAAGACTGGTTTGGAAGAGTAGATGTAGATAGTCCGATCGAGACACGGGCACATGTATTGCAGCATCCCTCAAAGCGTTCTAAGCCGGTCCGACAGAGAGTACTGCTGCCGTGCATCTGTAGGAAGAAACACGTGCCCCGTTGTCCCTCCCTTTCTTTGGATTTTGATGGCGCCTGCCACTGCTGCCGCTGCCGCTGCCGCTGCTTCTGATGCTCTAAAGGCATGTTTTCTCCGATTGGTAGCTCTCGCTGGGAGGACGCCACGCTGGAGGACGATTCGAAAACGATATTCTCTATCTTCTCCGTAGATGGCAACGAAGCAGTGACTCCTGCTGATTCTCGTGCCCCTTCAGCTGATCCTCCATTCGCTGGTGCTGGCGCTGCTGGTGCTACCGGTGGTGGTGGTGCTACTGAGAAACAGCGGGAGCGCCAAGGTTTTCGTCTATGTTATCTTGTCGTGGTTGAAATCATCTGGCACGGAGCGCCTTGGCACCTAATCCCTGTCTGGTGACGTTTTTCCTATTCTGTTCGAAGCACGGTGGTTCGGCGTGACTCCACCACGGATGAGCCATGATACAGTAGTCGCGCAATGGTCCATGCGGGCGTAACAGGGTGCACAGGAAGGGCACGGAGATCAATACCGCGTGGTTATGCAGAAGGGTCAAAAGTCAACCCATCCGTTTTGTTGTTCCGCTTGCCCCCCCCCCCCCCGCGTGTGATGCTTGAAGACCCTGAGCCCCTTGTAATCGCAGACCCTTTGCCCGTTGTAGTCGTTTGTCCACTTGAATTTCGAATCTTTGAGCGGGTTCGGTGCTCTCTCGTGGTGCCGCCGCAGTAAAGCGCCGTGCTACATATCCGCCCAGTTGAGCGCATGGTTTTCGGTCGAAAGGTCGACATTGCGTTGTGATTTTCTGCTTCGTCGGTCGGTCCCAGTCATCGAATTTATTCCCGATCGTACGTATTTATCGTGCCGTGTCTGCCTCCCTCGTGTACACCAGGGGGAAGGCGACGGAGGGAACGAGCCAGAGCCAATAAGCCCCGGGTGGCGAAAGTGTTAGATTCGATGGCAGAGGCGTGGCACGTCGTGGTGCCGATTGCCGACGACGCCACCAGCGTCTGGCTGCTGGTTAAGGTAGCGGCGGCGAGGATGGGCCCGCTGTGGTGGGTCAGCGCCGCCGCGCTGTCGGCGGCCGGCCTGGAGCGCGCGTGGCTCGTCCTCACGCTCTGCGCCGTGCTCGCCCTGATGCCGCTCCTAGGGATCGTTCGCGTCGTGCTGGCCGCGCTGGCGTGGTGCGCCAGGCTGTGCACGTTTCCCCCCGGCACCGTGTGCTGCCTCTGCGTT